TTCAATTGAGAACCAATGAGAGGAAACAAGCAGCCCGCACTGCAAAGAGCTATTGATTAAAACCCTCAGCCAGTTGGGGGCATCCAGGGCTGGTTTCTTGAGACACAGGAGGGTGTACTGCGGGGCTCCCTTGAGGATGAGAGTCCCCTACAAATGGTAAAACGGACACATGAAGATTCTTCTAGGGTTTCACAACCCCTCAGCACGTTTGGCCTTTGGAGTCGGATAATTCCTTGTTGTGGGGGCTGTTCTGTCATTGTAAGGTGTCCTACAGAGATCTTAGGCTCTCCTCACTAGGTGCCAGCAGAGCAACAATCTCTGGTTGTCCCTCAGTTGGGACAACCAAAAATGACTTCCGACATTGCCACATGTCCCTTGAGGGACAAAAATCATTTCTGGTTGAAAATCATTGGGTGAAATTACTAAAACATGTCCTCTGCTTCCTATACAACAGCTTAAAAACCTTGTTCGCCTAAAACTTAAGTGACTGCATTCCTAAATGTTCTATCACTTGATTTTAAAAAAGGTATCCAAAGCAATCAAGGACTGTGTATATAAATACAAATCTTACAGAAATTTTTTTTCTATATATCACTTTTGAAATTCTGACACATCTGGAATACACAACAGTACAGAATAATAAATAATGCATGGGTTTGGGATTGGGTTTATTTTTTGCCAAAACCAAAATAATTTTTTTAACTGGAGAAAAAGCTATTTACCATTTATGTACCGTGAGATGCACACAAAGTAGAAGCATTAGCACTAAAAGCCCTCATTTTGACACCAGAATTCATGTTTCCACACAAATTAACATGACCCCCAAAGGCATAAAGTGCACAAGCTTTATTGGGCGACAGCAACGGGCCACGCTGGCAGACAATGAAAGCAGACCCGCTCAGAAACACGCGGGATCACATGTGTGTCATCACAGGATCGAGAACTTAAATCACCTGGGATTTCCTGCTACATTAAAGCACACTACACCAGAGCTCCCTCGAACCCAAAACGCTGTCCTGGTGAAAACTGGCAATGGGGATGATATACGAAAAGATCCACGATGAGGTTAGTTAGCCCCATCGCAACAAAATAATAAAAAAATTAGCCATGATTTTTTTTTTTTTTTGCAAATACTGCACCCCCCTACTTGTCCCCCACAAACACGATATTCACTGACATTGTCCGGTGACATGAAGACTGCACCTTCAGCCACGTTGTGACAGAGAAGATAGTTCTGTCACAGGTAACGCTGCTTTGGCAGAAGAAGGTGCTACAGAACTCGAGGTATTAGGGACACCGCTCACAATGCTACGCTTTTCAGTTCCATCCAAAAACATCACATGTATTTTTCCAAGATGAAATGGACATAATTAATGGAAATATTTCCTAAGAAATATATACAAATGGCAAAAGCTTTACATTAAAAGAAGGGGGAGAAATAAAATCTGTTGTATTTACAAAGTTCCTTCTTTTTTTTTTTTTTTTAATAAAAACAAAGCTGGGAGTGATGGAATTTTAACCCAAACCAAATATCTCTTCAAAAACCTTGAGATGACATCATACACTCGTACACACACACACACACACACACACACACACACACGCTTCAAACACACAAAAAAGATTAAAAATAAAAATAGCTGATAACTGTTTGCCTTAAACAGGATGGAGTGAAAGAACGCACAGGTCCCATTTGCAATTTTGGCAAAGGTTGAAAATACTGCCTCATAAAGGCGCGAGGGCGTTGCCATCCCCACCCACGTAAAAACAAAACAAAGTGTAAAAACAAGTCTGGTGGAAGAAAAATAGGCATTATCACCTCAATTTCCAATGAGCACAGAACTCAAACTACATTCAGAAGTTGTCAGAAGAACCTAAATTTTCAGCAGAGGACATAGCGAAGAAAGGGTAAGCGGATATTGGTAAAGATTACTGCTATAAAAAAGCATTTCATTTAAGGGAAGGTAGTCTGAGATCTGGATATGATCATGCTAAATGCGGGAGAAATCTCAGCCCTTGGCCTCCCAGCTCCAAGTGACTGTAAACAGGTGACTGCTCTGTTGTCAAGATGCTCTGGGGAAGCCCTTCACAGCCATCAGCCTCGCTTAGCACCACAGGCAACACACACGTGCACATGCAGGTCCTCAAAATTAAAATCAAAACTCTCAGATACAAGAAATCACTCAAAATGGAGAAGTTTGGCCATTTCCTTAGAGAAAGGGAGGAAGAGGGCGGGGGCGGGGTGGGGGGAGAAATCAAACAGATCCCGTTCTCCTCAATACCCCAGCACTCCCATATACACACACCCGTTCCTAAAAGATTTAACAAAAATAATCATAAAATAATAAAAGTGCTTACTCTGACAGAAACGACTAGTGTTGTCGGAAGGAGGGGGGACTCGTAATTTTTACGTGAAGGAAGTGTTTCAAAGCTGATTGTGGCCAAGGGGGCCTCTGGCCGCAAATGAAATTGGCTGCCGGAGACTTAGGTCTCATTGAGTTCAGTGGTGCTTCGTAAGTTCTTTCCAGGTTGATGAGCCAAGAAAAAAGTCAATAGAATCCTTATGCTTAAGGTTGACGAACGCAAGAGAGTGTCCCGTGAAATAGCTCAGGTGTTTTGTTTATTTCTTGGCCTTCCCCCACGACAAAGGCAACCCCTGAAGCGCCCACGTGTGCACTGGCTGTTGGGATTACAATGCAATGGGTGTGGGTAAGGATCGTGCACTCTCGACTGACTGCGGCTGCTGCCCCCTGGGTCCCCGGAGTTTGGGGAGCATGACTGTGCATCCCTGGACACCCGAGGACCCCAGAGGGTGGGGTGAGCAGGCTGTCATTGACAGGGCGGCTCACAACGTGGTGATCTCCACTTGGGCTTCGGTCCCCTGGCCCTTGACTGCCTCCACCAAATGGGTAAGGATCGTGTACTCTCAACTGACTGCGGCTGCTGCCCCCTGGGTCCCCGGAGTTTGGGGAGCATGACTGTGCATCCCTGGACACCCGAGGACCCCAGAGGGTGGGGCGAGCAGGCTGTCATTGACAGGGCGGCTCACAACGTGGTGATCTCCACTTGGGCTTCGGTCCCCTGGCCCTTGACTGCCTCCACCAAAGCATGGCTGAGACAAAACACAAGGATTCTTTTGGTGGCACTGACGAGCATCCTTCATCTTGCAGAGATGTCTTCCTCAGCCCCTCTTAGAAGCTTCCTCCCTTTGAGATGTCAAATAGTATCTTAGGTGGTGACTTTAAGAGTCAACTCAAGCATCTCGATCGAAGTTGGGAATGAAGGACAAGACCAAAGAGACCACCTGCATTCCCTGTATCTGCTGGAAACATTTAAAATTTCCTAACAAGGGATCCATGGGACCTACCTGCAGGAGCCATCACCTGTCTGCGAACGAGGCCAGGTTCAGGGTTGGCAAACTCAAGAGTGGAACTACTTAAGATGTTCGGTTTCACAGTCTGACTTCCAAGCTGACAGACTGGGGTGCAAAAGCCCTACGCCAACATCCTCCAACTCCGCCTTCGAAATGGCATAAAACCACGCAGTGAAGTCGGACTTGCTAGACCTCCTTGAAAGTTCTGGACGAAGGCGCTATTCCTAAATAACCATTCCTTCACTGCAATATACATTCTCTGCAGGTCTTCTCTAGAGGGCAGAAAGGGCGGGAACGGAAAAGGAGAAAAACTACAAAACTGCAGAATCTTGAGACACAATAGAAATGACGTTGATAAGCGGTTTACCAGGGCCTCCAACTGCCATTTTATAAAGTTTTTAAAAAGGGCAACATAAATGCACGAGCGCATCGAGGGTGCTCCAAAGGCAAGGAACTGTCGCCTCCTCGTGTCCCCAATTCTCCAAGAGCAGGATCACCCTCAGGAGTGCACGTCAGCATCCAGGCCGGAGCTCACGCCTCTGAAGCGCACACAGGAAGCGTCATGCTGATGGGTCGAAGGGTCCGTACTCATAAAGGATTAATCACAAATCTAAGATATCAGACGCAGTCAGCTCTTGAAGATCAACCGACTGAACCCTTATGACATGCATATGTGGCTACAAGGAGTGACTGGAAAACCCAAGAACACCTTGCCCTGCCACGTCTAGTACTTGCAGACGCCCCTCTTCCTCTGAAACGAGAAGCCACAGCTTTATAAGAAACACGCGTGCATGCCCACCATCCTGGTGGGGGAGGGACCTCTGGGACTGGCTGCCCTTCCGCAAGCCCCTCTTGCAATCTGGAGGCCGAGGGACAGAGCCCGGACCCCAGAGCTACAGCCTGGGCCTCCTCCCACGAGGGCTCCTTACTTGACACTATCACAAGCGGCAGCGTGATAAGAGATGCCCCTGCCTCTGTCCTCGCGTCCTCAATAGTTCCTAGCAGGAAACGGACTTCTGTGGAAGTGAAGCGTCCCCATCCCTGACCCCTCCGCTTCGGACCCAGGGTCTGAGCCACTTGTGCTACCTTGTCGAAAGAATTCGTTGAGTCTCTTATGACCCTGTCGACACATTTAGGGGCTGTTCGGTGGCACGTTTCCTGCTACAACAACTCTGCTGAAAAGGGCTGAGGGTATCCCCAGATAGCCGCGGGCTTTGTAATTGTTACCAGGTCCGAACGAAGCAGGATAACACCACCTTTGAAATTCTTTTACGAGGTGGCAGGTGACGTTAACTCCAGGGCTACGGGTGCTGAATGAGATGCAGGATAACACAGGGTTTATGGGGCTCTCTCCCCCCCTCGCCTCTCATTTGCTTTTTGCTAATCCTAGGAAGCCAGCGCTGCTGAACGCCTGAACAAGCAGGGCCGCCATGGAGAGGACACTCAGCGTTTCCAAAACTGACGCTAGCGCCTGGATACTTTTTCCCAAAGGTCACTGTCTTTCCCCCGCCCCAAACCTACACCAAGAGCTTCACAGTTCTCCGAAACCAGTTTTGAAGAGTGAGGAAGGACGTAAAGAGCACACACACGTCAGGACTGTTTAAAACACAAGAACGAAAACAAAAGATCCTCTACCATCTTCGACGAGACGGAAACTTTTATCACATGATCACAAAATTCAAGTCATAAGGAAGCTTGCGCAGTGACCCACATATACATCTCTCGGCTGAGACACCAGTTTGAACACAGTCACATTCACTCAGATATGAGTCACCAGGGGTCCGAACAGGGCCCCGTGGGCACCTCCTGGGAACCCCCGCTCTGTTGATCCAGTGTCGGGACGCCATGCAGAGCCTCTTCGCGTCCAAACTGCACGTGTGAGCGGTTACGGCACGGTCCACAGGTGGCGGTTAAGATGAACGGAACTTGAGCTCTGTCCTCAGGAAAGCAGAGGCCGGAGTCCCCCCCGCCCCCCCCAACCGAGTGCGCAGCCTACGACGTGAGCTTCGAGTAGCTGGGGGGAGAGAACCGTCTTCGCAGATACTTGAGGATGTAGAGGGGGAGACAGCTGACCAGGGTGATAACAGAGACTTTCCACAGGAACGACAATGTGGCGATGAAGTACACATCTGTAAGCAAACGGGCAGACAGTGGTGAGCTGGTGGAAGGTTCCAGAAGGTGCGTACAGTCCAGAAGCGGCCATCACAGCTATCACCCAATTACAAACGCATGGCCTCCTCCACCCAGTCTTTAAGGGGACGGACGTGTCACCAGCTACCGGCTTATAAAGGCTGGCAGCCTGACTTCCTCTCTCTCCCCTCTCTCTCGGACCTGCTTCTGTAAATCCCTGATAGTCAGTGAAAGGCTCTTTTCAACAACTAAGAAAAGAAAACTATGGACCCAAAAAAAAAACCAATTCTTACAGGTGTTTTTGATTTGGAATCTGACAAGAGTTTTTCTTCCCGAACACGGCCGCTGGAAAACAGAAAGTAATCCTCAAACGCACACTTCTGCTCCCCAACTTTTTTCCCTTCGTCTGAACGACGGTCACAGAAAGCCACAGACAGACGTGAGGGTGGCGTGAGGCAGGCTGAGCCCCCCTGGTCAGAAACAGAGTGACCTCGGGGGCTGTGACCTGCGGACAGGCACGCGGCCTCTCCTGCTGTAGGACAGTAAACCCTGCCGTTGCAAGGTCTTCGTGAGAGAGACGTGACAGTTTGTGGCTTTCAACATGGAGCGGAGGCCACAGTAAACAATTTCCCCACTGCCTGGGCATAGGGCGGGGAAAACACGGCTGGCATTGATTAAGCACCTACTAAGTGCCAGGCCTGCGGCCCACCATGTGCTGTTCGCCCAGTCCAGTGGTGACCGCATCTAAGGTGACCAACCATAGGACCCTGAGGGCAGAACCTGCGTCTTCTAGGCCTCTGGAGTCCCCCGGCTTCAAGCCATTGAGCACACGGTAGGTGCTCACAAAACCCATTCGGAGAGACTTGGGGACAAGTGTGAAACTGTTCTAAGACTGCTTTTCACGAGGGTGCTCCTTTACATTTACCAAACCTTTTTAAGGAGTGTTTGCTGACACATAAAAGAAGTGATCAGAGACACTTTTGTGGTGAGGCAGCGTCTCAGCCAAACGATAATGCCAAGTCCCGTCGGCCTATCGTTCATTCATGAACATGACCTACGTGCCTGACGTCTGCACAGCGCCAAAGAGCACAGCACAGTGGCCAGCTCCCTGGAGAAACCCACCGGCTCCTTCCTGAATTAAACAGAATCTCCTTCCAAAACAGTGTGGCGTGGTTCTCAAAGAAAACTCTATACTGAGATCATGTCCAACAGCCTCAGTTCCGGAAGGTTGATTGACAATTGCCACTTGTCCCAAGGGCACCCCAGTAAGAATATGGGGGAAGTAGCGTGCAAAGACCTGCTGGGCAAAGAGCTCGGCATCCGAGGGCTGGGGAGGCTGCCTTCCTTCCCGAGTTGGTGAGACCTGATGGACAAGCTTTAAATGCGGGGGTGGGGAGGCGGTGTCTTACCAATGAATTCATGTAGGAACACCAGGGAGGCGATGTAGCAAGCCAGGCTGAGCAGCTCGGCCACCGTCATAAGCCAGTGCCAGGTCTGGATTGTCAGGGCCACCATCAGCAGCTCGGTGAGGATCAGCGACGTGAAGGAAATGGCCACGATGTGCACGAATTCGGACTCGAACAGCAGCAGCGCCCCGTACATGATGGTGCTCCCTGGACACGCGGAGAAAGTCCAGGTGGGGAGAGGCCGGTGTCCCCCACGCAGGCCCCTCTGCTGGGAGCTGACCCTCCCACCCGCTCCCCTCCGAAGGCCCCCTCCCCTGTCACATTCACCTTTGTTTCTTCCCTTTAGACATAAAAGGTGCCACTTGTGAAATGAATGGGGCTCTACGGAGGTTTAAAGAGGCATCATGGTCAAGTTCTCCTATTTCCCCTTTTGACTTTATATAACGAAGAATCTATAATTGCAGGGATGGGGGGAGAGTGAGGGAGGAGGAGGGACAGAGTAACTCTCTGAAGAGGACGGAATGAGGGATAGAAATTTAAATATGTTATCAAAAATGATAAGAGAGAGGTAGTCACAAAAAGGCAGATATACATGAGTCCACTTAAAGGAGTCAGTCATAGAGGCGGCGAACAGCCTGGTGGTTCCCAGGGGTGGCCGGGGAGGGGAAGAGAGGGCTTGGCCGCTGAGTTTCAGTTTTTTTCAGATGAAAAACTTCTGGCGCTCTGTTTCACGACAACGTCGACGCACTGAACACTACTTCAAAAGAGTTCAGACGGTAAACTGTGCGTTACGTGTTTCTTACGACATAACAGAGGCAACCAAGACACGCAGAGAACTCTGTACCTCTATCGGAAAGAGAAGGGGAAGCGCAGGTGGGTATAGAAAAGTTTTCATCGAGCATGGCAGGGACTGAGTGGATGGTGTCTCACGTGGATCAAAAAATACTCGCAACACAAAACTCATAGAGGCGGGGCGGGGAGGTCCGAAACCCCCCACTGTACCAGGGATGAAGACGGAAAATGGAGCATCGCTGCTTAGGATCGTGAACTTTTATGCAGGATTATACTTTGACCGACTCCTTAAAAACACCCTCCTCGATTTCTTTTAATGACAATTTAACCTCCTGCCAACAAATTCAGCGGTCACTATATGCTTTAATTGTGCACCCGTTAGTAAAAAAAAATTAAGAATGAACCCAACGCACAGTATATATCTGGAAATTACATATGTGCAGATGTAGAGAGAGATATTAAGACCACCGTATAAATATGTTATATACATGAAGAAACATGCATAAAGACAGAAACTCTCAAAAAAGTGAGGAAAAAATAAATACACATAGAGGCTTTGGTATTTTCTTCTCCTACTCCAACGAGTTGTCTTACAAAGCCTCTAAGTCTGAGGGACCACGGAAATAAATGCTTTCCGAAAACTGCAACTTGACCTCAGAAAAAGTATCAGAACGTTCCAGAAAATAATTACTTTTTGCTACGATGGCTAGAACACCTCAGCAGGTTTTGATTCGTATTGGTTATATTTTTCTCTGACTTCATCTCATTAAGCTGACAGCCCCACCTCACACGTGGGACTTGCGCTGGGCTGAACGTTCGCGTCCTGGGGACATGTTGAGCGGGGTTTTCCCCCGGGGGGACACTGTCACGCTCCCTACTGCTATTTTAGGATCCCAGCTTCTTCGTGTTCTACAGGCGACAGACAGTAAAGCTGACCTTGGGGTCAAGGCCAGAGTACAAGACAAAAGGTGGCTTTGCCCTTCCTTACCTTGATAGATGCTAATCAAAACCCATATCAAGAATGTCTTGTAGGATAACGGTCGTCCCTAAACGAGAGAGAGAGAGAGGGGACAGGTCACCGTGAATGGCTTGTCCGGTGTGCCAGCCCTCTTCCTCCCGCTCTCCCGTGAATGAGATACGGCCACCTGCCTGTTTTCATCAAAAGACGTGGCTTACACATATCCGAAAACATTAAAAAGTTACGTTTTTTTTAAAGAGACTTGCTATCAGATGAGAATAAGCCCACCCTTTCGTAAAAATCCCTTAAAGGCAAATAAATGAAATTATATCCACACCCCCACGATTTTTAGAAGTGTGCACAAGAACATTTCTAGGGGTAGACACGAGCGGCAGCTGCAAAACAGAACTGTCGGGGGCTTTTTAAAAAGTTGTTGGTTGGTTTGTTTTCCGTTTATATATTACTGTATTATTTCATATTCTTTACATGTACATATGTTCCTTTTTTAAGGAACAAAGTAAAACTCCCATGCCTTCCTCCCCAAAGCTACCGGAAGTTCAAATGTGTTCAAATCAGATATATGAAATATAAAAGTATGGATGGAGGAAGAGAAGGAAGGAGGGAGGGAGGGGGGGAGGAAGGAGGGAGGGAAGGAGAAGAGGGAAGGGGTTAGGAGCCCGACGAACCTTGAGAAGATCCTTGTAGAGCTCAGGGTACAGCATGGCAACTTCCGACTTGACGTCTTTGTCCAGGACCAGAGAGAATACGGGAAACATGGTGTAGATGGTCGAGTACCTGGGAGGGAAAATCGCCACAGGTAAGACACAGCCAGTGGAGTGTGAGCAACGTGCTCCCCCCGCCTCTGGAGCCCAGTTTCCATGCATTCACTCGACAATGATGTATGGAGGGTCCATTTTGTGACAGGGCTGGTTCTAAGCACTAGAGATTCAAGATGGAAACCGGACAAAACCATCTGCCCTCAGAATGAGTGAGCCAATAAACAAATTCAGCAAACTGGCTGGAGGTAAGAGCTAAGGAGGCAAGTACAGTGAGGAAGAGGGAATAAGACACGGGGGGTGGGGGGAGGGTGCAATTTTAGAGAGGTGGCCAAGGGACGTGACGTTTGTCAACACCCAG